GCCCAAGAGCGGCTCCTCGCCCACGGACACGACACACACCCCACGCACAGACAGACAGACAGCGACACAGACGGCGCTCGTGGGGAGCTCTGCGCGCCGCCGGGGAGAATCAAGGCTTCCCGGTCAGGGAGAGGCTGGGGGGTGCTTTTTTGGCTACCGTGCTTTAAAAACAGCAGTTTTCCAGCGAAGAAGCCCAGTGTCCCCAAGGACCCTCCACGCCAGCGCTGCCACACACAGCAGGACGGGGGAGAAGGCAGCTCTCCTTCCCCGTCGCCCCCGACCCGCTCCCAAGCCCGAAGCCCATCTCCAGCCAGCACCCGCGCAGGGAACACGCTGTCTGGGTTTCAGCTCTACAGTAGTTTTTAAAAAATATTTATACTTTATATACCCTAAAAAGGTCACCACAGGAATTTCCATGTCTTTGGAAAGAAGGAAAAAAAAAAAAAAAATCAAAACTGTTTCACAAAAGAAAAAAAATCCAATTATCGGCAGCGGTCACCTACAGGAGAAAACCCCCGGCCGCAGCGTGTGCATCTGACGGGGGATCTTACCGCCTGCTCCGGAAAGGTCAGAAACACAGGTGAGTAGCTAAAAATAACTAGTCTGGTATAAATGTCGAATTCCATGCGCTTGATATAACAGTCTGTCTCTTTTTGTCTTTTTTCTTAAAAAATATATATATATAGTTATTGCTTTCTCAAGGGCCGGTGGGCACAGGGCACCCTCAGTGGGGGAGTGCGGCGGGCTCGGTGGGGTTTGCTTTCTTCCGCCTCTTCATCAGCAAAGGGTTTGAGGAATCTTCGATTTTCTTGATCTTGATTTGTTCGTAGTCCACTCGCATGGTGGCCAGCGCGCTCGTCATCTCCTCCTGCGGGCAGGCGGCAGAGGCAGCGCCGTCAGCAAAGCCCCCGCAGGCACAGCCCGCAGCCCCCTGGGACCCCCGGGGCAGCTGTACCCCTCTGAGCCCCCGTGGGAATAAATCATAGCAGGGGATGAGGGTCCCACCGCCAATTTTTCCATCCCCATCCCGAGCACAGCTCTCCCCGGGAGCCAGCACACTCGCACCGAGCCCGAATTAGCCCGAGAAGGCAGAAGCGGACAGCCCCCAGATGGCACCCGGGGCGCAGAGCGTTTCAGACAGCCACGGAGAGAGGTTTTACCTTCACGTCCTCCCACAGATCCTTCTCCTCCTTCAGCACACGGCTGGTGTGCAGCGGGGTCTGGGGCACCTGCATGGATTGCTGCCGAGAGAGCGGCGGAGGGTCAGCCGAGAGCCGCAGGCCTCCCAGCCCCTCCCGCCCCTGTCCCTGCCCCATCCTGTCCCCATCCCCATCCCATCCCGCTGCGCCATCAGCCCTGCGCTCACCATGATCCAGGGGTGGTTCATGAACTCCGTTATCGTCATGCGCTGGGTCGGATCCGTCTTCAGCAAGTTGCGGATCAGCTGCTTCACTGGAAGTTGTTGTGCAGGGCCGGGTGTTAGCGGGTCCCAGGGTGGCTCTCCCCATGCCCCAACCCAAGCCAGCGGCACCAAAATGCCTGCGCGTGGCTCCCATCCCCTCCGTGCCACGGCCCTCACCCTGGTCAAACCCACCAGCAAAAGCCTCGAGCAAAGAGGCGAAGCTGCTGCATCGCTAAGAGGTGACCCATGACATGCCCAGGCTCCTCCCCGCAGCCTTCGCAGCGCTGCTGGACGCGGGGCTGATCCCGAAGGGAGACCTCAGCACGGGGACAAGCTGTCACAGGGACCGCATTTACCTTCCTCCGACACTTCGGACCATTCGGGATTGGGAAACTCGTACTGGCCCATTCGGATTCGCTTCTTCATGCCGGGCGAGATGGCCAGGCCGTGGTTGGAGTAGAAGGGGGGGTACCCGCACAGCCTGCGCCGGGGGAGGGAGCAGAGAGTCAACGCATCGCTCCGAAAGCCTCCCCAGCAGTGCCGCGGGGCACCGCCAGGAGCAGGAGCGGTGCAGCTCAGCCCCACCACCCCACAGATGAGCTGGAAAGCTGCATCCCCCCCCCTCTGACCCCGGCGGGATGGAAAGGGACCCGTTGGACTTACAGAATGTACATGATGACGCCGAGGGACCACATGTCGCAGGATTTGTCGTACTTCTCAGGGCCCAGCACCTCCGGGGCTGGCAAAGAGAGAAACAAAGTCCTGAGACGAAGTGGCAGCACCGGACGAGAGGGATCTGACCATCCCGTGGAGGCGCCGAAGAGCCGCCTGCGGCTGCGTGCGGTCCCGGCACAGGCTCCCGCGGGGCCACACCGGCAGCGGGCGCACGCGAG